GGGTACTGCTGTACAGAACATTGGCTTAGGTACACGGGGAACCAAACTGAGCCAGAGGACCGCAGGAGCTTTCTAGACAGGTCTGCCCTGCAGCTCGTGAGTGGCCTGGCTCCTTTCCTGCTTGCCTCAGCCCTCTTAAAGCAGTGCCCTGGACTTAGGTGGCAGTTTGGAAATCCTGCAGATGTCAAGGCTACCTCCTGGTAAATGATGCCTCATTTCTAACCAGACAAATGTTCTTGTAGAACCAATTTTTTCTCTTTTCCCACCCACAAGGAAATACAGTTTCTTATTAAAAAAAAAAAAAAAATCCCATGCATCGCTATAGACCTCCAAATCAGAAATGCCAACATCTGGCATTTAGCTAAAATCCTGTACATTATATTTCTTTAATTTTATCCTTGATTATTCCTCCAACTGAGGCTTTAACAAAGGCTCCAAGACACTTCTGCAGACAACTGTACCTTTGTCTTCTGTAACTGACAACCTGTGTGATTCCCTTCTGCATCACAAAAACAATTCCCAACCCCACCCACTGGAAAAAAGAAGCTGTACAGAAAGAACATCCTGTGAGGGTCTCTGTGAAGCTGATACTAAAAGGCCCCAGTACTTAACACTGGTTTGGGAACACATGCTGTTTTTACTCTTCATTTAAATAAGAATATGAGAAGAATCCACCCAGTTATACCTTTCCACTTCCCAAACTCCTCAAGTCAAAATTGAATGGAGGACCTGGGGGGTGTAGCTCAGGGGTAGAGCGCTTGTGTAAAACGTGCAAAGCCCTGGGTTCATCCCCACCACCAAAAGAAAAAAGAAACTGAATAGAGATCTGGGACAAGAAACTTTGACACTGTGCTTCAACATGCCTTTTCACACAAACTAAATCCAGGATCAACACAATTTCTCCGAGTAAAACTGTAACAAAGTAATACTCAAAGAAAAAAAACAGAAGGTTGTAAAAAAATGTTAATGCCCTTGTCAGTTGTGATATTATGAAATATGAACTTGGTCTCTATCACCATTTCCTGGCACACAACTCTTAAAACCCTTGGAATCTCCAAAATGAGTTTTGAATGCTGGTTGACTGTCAGTTGACAGCTGGCTGTTCCCTCTATAACTTCAAGAAAGGGGGTGGTCCCTGGAGAGACAAAGGCAGTAGGATTAGAAGGTTAGAGGCTTTATTCCATCCCCCACAGCCTCCTGGGAGGTGGAGGGGCTGAAGATTGATCTGGTCAACAGTGACAAAAGATTTCATCATTTATGCCTACCTAATGGAGCCTCCATAAATACCCAAAAGAGTGGCTTGGAGAACTTTTGGAGAGCTGAACAAGAAAAGGGTCCCAAAGGGTGACCCTCCTGGAGAAGGTGCAGAACTCCATTCCTTGCCCTTCTCCCTCACCCTACACATCTCTTCGTCTGTTTATCTGTGTCCTTTATATATTCTTTATAATATTCTTCATAATGCATCAGCAAACATGTGAAGTGTTTCCCTGAGTTCCATGAGCYGCTCTCAAATTAACTCAGAGCCAGGGAGGAGGCTGTAGGAACGCCAATAGGTAAGTAGTCAGTCAGAATCACAAGCCAACTAGCTTGGGCTTGCAACTGGCATTGGAAGTGGAGGGCAGGGTTATAGGACGGAGCCCTGTACCTGGGGTACCTGACATGATCCCCAGGTGGACAGTGCCATAACTGGATGGAATCAGAAGAAGCACATCTGGTGTCCAGAGGAGAATGGTTTGCTTTGCTTGGGGTGTGTGTGTGTGTGTGTGTGTGCACGTGTGTGTGTGTTGGAAGGGGAGAATTCCCAAACATGTGCTTACAGAAGTGTTCTGTGTTGTGAGATAGCAGCAGCAGCTGAGTTTGTTTTTTTTTCCTAGATGGACTCAGTCGGTTACTGTAGAGGGCGATACATATCCTGATGACCTCACTTGTTTCTTCAAAGGCTGGAGAGGCCTCTGAAGATCATTCTGTTTGGTTTTCCTCTTGAACTTACTGTCAGATCCCCCTGGATGAACCACCAGCAAGGACATATAGGAGTTGCACCAGAAGCAGCCCCACCCTGCAAATCTCTTCTGGGTCATCCAAGGCCAGGCTTGTCCTTGCAGAGACTGAAGGAGGAGGGACGAGTGGCTCCAGTCACCAGTGCGGCCTCTTAACATTGAATGCAAATCCTGAACCGATCACRCCTCTGTGGGCGCTTTGAGGTGCGTCCACGGCCGCTTAATTTCATCCCCTCAACAACAGGATTGCTCTCCTGCCTCCAGAACTGACAACCTGCGAGTCCTAACAGCTGAGAGAAATGCCGTTCAGAACAAGCGGCCAAGGGCGGCAGGTGTGGCTCTGGAGCCAAGCAAGAAGCTTCTGGTTCACCCGAGTGCTGCTCCCTTCCTCAGATCTTTCTACCATCCCRGGGCTCCCATCCAGCTCCCCAGAGTGATTTTCCACCTAGACCAGATCTGGTCACATGCTACTGTCATGATAAGGAACAGAGTCCGTGGTTGAGGAGAAAGAGACACAAATGCCAAGTTTCTCAAAGAGCCTCTGACCTAGTGGACRATGCTTCACACATTTTGACAAAACCAGGTTTCTAAAAGTTCAAAGAACATGATGACTTCCCACCCCTAAAAGGTCAGGGAACCAAAGAGTAAATGCCACCCTGTTGGTTTGATGCTACTTAGATCAGCAAGCAGATATGTCCTGGGCCTCTACCATGTGCCCAGCCCCGGACCCTTGGCTGTGGGTGAGGAGGGCCAAGAAGAAGATGCAGAATGAGTCTCAGCTGTCTCAAACCTCAGCTTGCAAGAGTTACAGGGGCTGAGTTTCTGGGTTCCCCATCCCCCAGAAGTGTGATTCACCCAATCTGGTGTAGCTGARTCTGCAGCTTTCATGACCACATCCAGCTGCTTCAGATACAGGAGATCCTGACCCAAGACCCGCCACCCCCTTGAGAGACACTGGTTTGTGACCGGGTTCCTGTTCTGGAGACATGTGCAGCCCAGACAAGGGGATGGCAAACCCCCCCAAAGCCAAGGTGTGACAAAGCTTTTTGTRCAATGCAGCTTCTAAATGTTATGGACGTGCCCAAAGAGGAACCAGTGAGTGAAGTGCTGAGGATTGGGGGAGACCTGGGAAGGAGAGCCGGGTTTCCTGGTGGCAGGATGTGGATACAGAGAGCCYGAGCAATTGTGCTAACCCAACCTCCTGAATCACCGTGAGAAGGTGGCCACAGTGTGCCGTATAACTAGGGATGAAGACCTGGCTGGGGGACCACCAGCCAACAGGTGCAACAGGGGCTTCATGTGACCATGACAAGAAGGGTGCTCTCACCAGGAGGCTCTTAAAACTGGCATTTCCAGATAACACTGCGTTTGCATTTTCACTCTACTGCATTCATGTGGTTTCTTGCACTTCATAATTTAACATTTGTAAGAGAGAGGGGAAGAAAAAAAAAAAACGCTGTTATGAAACCCAAAYAATGCACCACTCTGAGGCAGACAGCCAGCTGCTAACAAGAGTGACAGCTGAACATCACTGAAAGTGGTATTCACAGCTCTGCTTCTTGGTAAGAAAGAAAAATACTAAATTCCGTTCCATGTGAAAAATATTTGGGGCTCCCAGGGCGAAAGCACTGGCAGATAAGAATCAGTGACCCGTGGCGGCAAGCACAGAGGAGGAGGAGGTGAGGTCCTCTGTGGAAAAAGAAGAGACACTCATTCGAAAGGCGCCCATACACAGGTCTGTATTTGCATGGAGTCATCGTGAAAGATGGTGTCACATTTTCTTTAAGGCTGCAAGGGAATACATCATTAACCACACGTGCTGCAAAGTCCTGCTTCACCGAAAGAATGACTCTCAAAATGGGTGCCAGGGGGGAGAAGGGACACCCCCCAGCTGCCACGCTGGCTGGTACCGCGTGCCTCCTGCAGATGCTGACTTGCCACAGGCCCTCAGGAAATACAGTTGGGCAAGAATCAAAGGAGATAATTATTTAATTGATTACACTAGAGGGCACTGAATTTTAAACTTGCAAGATTTTGGAGCTCAATGAGACGCAAACTAGCACTTTTATTAGGTGAGTCATTCATTCCGAGGCCAAGAGTGAGCTCTCCCRGGTCTCCAGGTTAGGTGGGGATAAATTGGACTCAGATACCAAGAAACTTCGTGGATGAGGCTGATACAAGATCCTTGGAAGTCCACATTATTTGGGTGCAGAGTTGGGAATTCTTTTAATCATTTACTTATAGTTTGGAGTATTTGAGCTTCAAACCCAGACCAATATTATCATTCAGGGGATCACATTTAGCAACAAGTTCCTCAATAAACAGACAGTAGGAATGGGCCCGGGTGTTCTACAGCACAGCAGCAGGGCTACGGTTGGCAACAATTTATTATATATCTTATAAAGAACTAGAGAAGACAAAGAAATGATAAATGGTTAAGCAGATGGAAATGCTAATTACCTGATTTGATCATTACACGTATATACAAGTATTGAATTATCACTCTGCAGCCCATTAAAACCACATTACTCAATAAGCATTTGTTGAACAAGACCTGGAAACTCCCAACGACTCCCACCTTGCCCATCCCAAAACTTGATTATAGGCTAACTTGATTCCATCATCAGATGGAATCTATTTCCTCTTCAGTGAAAGATTAGTCAATCCCTTATGCTTTCAATTACAATAGAATACATGTAAGATGTAGCTGGTCTGTTGTTGTTGTTGTTTGGATTTTTTTTTAATTTTTAATTTTTTTTTCTTTTTTTTTAACACAAATGCATTCTCCTCAGTTCATACATCAAGTGGATTTCAGAAATAAGCACACTAGATTTATTTGGTTGCTCTTGACTTTCAGTGACTAGAACAACATCATCTCAAATGGCTCATTACTGGGGTGCTACAGAGACAGCTAGGCCCTTGAAGAAGATGTCTTGCACACCAAAAAGACTCTGCCAGGTGAAATTTAAAGCTAATAAACATCAAGCCCTTCTGATGACTCACCGAAAACCATGCGTGTTTCCAGATTCTTCGTGCAGACTGAAGCCCGCTCTGTCTTGCCCGTGGTCCGCAGCAGCACTACTTTTGGGTCTTCCAGACAATTTCTTTCCTTATGCCCCAGGACGCTGCAGAGAAACAAAACAAAACACCGAGTCAGAATGAAAATGCCACTTCAAGCAGTTAGTGGATGGTCAGGGGAAATCCCTGGCCTTTCTCAAATGTCTATCTCCTGACCTCAAACAGCATGCTAATGACCAGAACGAAGCTTTCRCACATCTTATCTACATACGCTGCCCTAAAATACTGGAGGTGGGGGGTCAGGGAGGAAGAAGGAAGGAAAGCACAGCCCCACGCTGCGGGAGATGGTGCCTCCTCAAACCAGGAGCCCCACCAGCGGGAAAGGGCTGGCAAACTGCAAATCTTCGGACTGAGGGAAGGAAATAAAGGATTCATGACGTTTAAATGATTCAAGGCGCTGATGTGTAGGTTTCAAGAGCAGAGAAAGTTTTGTTTGAGATGAAAATTCATCTGATTCTGCTCATCAGAGACTCAGATGGGCTGAGCAAATATTTTTTTTTTAAATAAAGGGCTGCCAGGATCCAACCAACAAGAGTACGAGACAGAGGACATTTCCATTTTGCACTACAAAGAGGTCACAGATGGGCTCCTCTCGTCTGCCTCTTGATGAACTTGGGGAAGACCTTCTCCAGGCGGGAAATGGTTGCTCCCTGGCACACTGAGCGTGAAATGAAGGGTAAGATATGCATGCCTCCCGCCCCACTCATGCAGCTGAGGAAGCCTACACATCAGATCCGCGGGCGACAGGGTCACTCTGAAAAGGTCCTTTCTGCTTTGGCAGCTTTCAAGGCTCACTGGTCACAGTCTGTGGTTCCAGTGTCTTCCAGTGCTCGGTCAAATCCACCCTACTGTTTGTTCTTTGACAATGGCCATTTGAGAGGCTGGAAACAGTCTTCCAAAGATGCCTGTATCCCTTCTTAGCCTTTTATAAGCTCTTTCCCCATTTTCTTTTAAAAAGCCCAGTGGAGGGCTGTCACCCAGCGACCAGGATCTGGTGGCCACATTATACTTGTAACTCGGAACTCTGTAAAATGCTCCGAAGGTCCTGGGGCCATCACCATCGATCACATCAAGTGACCCACTTTACGAGGGAGGCTGTGCTGGCCTGTCTCACGAGGTTGCTGTGTGGACAACTGACTTTTCCAGAGCCTTCTGAAGCTCTTACTTTAGGGAACAGTCAGTGATTCTTCCAAGGACTCTGGGGTAGTCACGTACCTCTGGTTAAATTGACGTGGACACTTAAATCTTTGGAGAAGACTGCGTCTGCCTCTTGGTTAATGTTTAAACAAGGGGATTAAGTTCAATGTCACAGAATTTTCAGTCTAGCAGAAAGAGCAACTGCCTGGGAATGGCAAAGTCTTTTTTTATTTTCTCGATGCTATCAATACTCGCCGAAAGTGGGGTTGTGAGGATTTTATTAGTTTTCTGAGCAGTTTTCATGAAGTGTAACTCAGCTCCCACTCAAATGTGTAACAGTAACATATTGATTCAGATCAACATAAGCCAGGAAGTTCAAAGTATGACAAACTGTCTTTAGCTTACCGGCTTGGTAAAAACAGAATTTGGAAGGAAGAGGAGGATTTTAGTAATAAGCTCACTGCAAGTTATTGGCTGGTATCAATCTTTTTTAGTTTTTTAACTAAAAATAGCTTGTTGCGTTTCCATAGGTGTCACCCACTTTCTATCTTGGGAGGGGTCTTGGCCATCTAATTAAACCTCTGCAAATGAATCGGCTGGCCGTCTAGCTCTTAAAATCACAGCAAGGGAAAAGGTACTTTGACGAGGCTCCGGGTCAGTCATTCAGGCTCACTTTGACTTAGTAGCCACRAAACCATCTAACATGATATAATATGGCTTTAAGACAGAAAGYTCACCAGTAGCCAAATGCTTCTTTATGGTAGTCTCTTTTTCTGTTTTATTTCTGCCCTCAAGAAAGAAATTCAATTCTGGATTATATTCCCATCACCTGTCTTGGAGTAAACTTTATCCGGGAGGGACAGAACTGTTCCATTGTGACCTCCAGGCTTTAATAGCCAGTGCAGGGCTTCTACTGTTCATAGAGAAGAAAAAGAAGGACTCTTCCAAGTGACAATAATTTACATTTTTACGTATCTCTCTAGATACAGCATCAGAAGTGATTCATTTTGCGACTTACAGCAGACCCTCAATTCCACATAGCACAAGTAGGAGATGACTTATATCCAAAGAAAACCACTGGAAATTCTACACCCCCTCCTTTTAAGCAAGAATTCCAATATGGCAGCCCTAGGAGTGTAGCCCAGGGATAGAGTGGGTGCTGACAGCATGCTTGAAGCTCGGGTTCAAACCCCAGCAACCCCCACCCCAGGAATAAGATTTTTCTCTTCGGTGCTGGGAATTAGACCCAGAGCCTTGCACATGCTTGGCAAGCCCTCCGCCGCTGAGCTGCACGCCAGACCTACAAGAAAAGGACTGCYATATGCATCTTCCCTTGAGCAAACTCTACCAGTGCTGCTGCTGACCGGCACAACTGACTAAAGGGAGTGTGTACTCATCGCCTCCCCATTCCCCTATGCCAGCTGATGACAGAGATGAGWCCAGAAATCCAGAAAAGAGAAAAAGAAAGCCCAGGGTCTTGAACATCCAGAGAGAGGAGAGCAGATAGGAAAGTTGGCCATATAAACAAGGATTTCATTCTGGAGGGTATCCTGTCAGTGGTTTCAGATTCGATAAGCATTGAGGTGCTAATTTCCTAGACACTTACGAGCAGCAAATCAAAATACACCCAAATAAGCCCAAAACAGTAGCCCCAGGAGCCGCGAGATGTACTTTTCACTCTTACTTTGGCAGATAACTGAATTTTTCAACTTAGGTCACAGGCTCCTAAGTAGAATTCATTCCTAATTTATCAAATAAATGGACTTAAGGAAATATTTTTATAATTAATTCCCAATTTATATTTCAAGTTGTTTTTACACATATCAGATATTTAAAAGCCAAATCAGATCTCTACAAACGCAAACATTTTTTATTTGCTCTTTATGCTAAATCCAACAATTTGATACAGATTTCATAGGAAAAAAACCCAACAGTTCATGGTAAAATCTCCCCTCTTTGGGAAAGGGCATTCATAGTAAATGCTGCTGGAAAAATCAGCTCTTCCTTTAAAACTAGATCCCTACTTTACACCATTTAGAAAATATATTCTAGATCTATAACTAAAAATAGAARTATATTTATAYACATACATTATAATAYACATTTATATACACTTACTTATTATACATACATAAAATATAATTCACTTGTATTTATTACACAGGTATATTTTACGCCATAAAATAAATTTGATAAGCATAAAAAGGCCTTTTAGGCAGGCTTTTTTCAAGATGTTGACGGTTACTTTAAAGCAGGAAGACACAGAGAATTATTTTGAATGGCGTGGTATCATGACCTGACTTATATTTTCAGGATCATTTGGTCTGTGGTGTGAAGAATAGACCATCAGGGGGCAAAGTCACAAACAGAGCCAGGTGACGTRCTGCAGAAATCCAAGCGAGAGACCCTGCCCACAGGCAAATATGGTGARCCTGGAGGTCAAGTCATTTTTGGAACTGGGGACTGGGGTGGTAGCTCAGTGGTAGAGCACTCACCTAGCATGTGTGAGGCATTGGGTTCGAGTCTCAGCACTGCATAGAAGTAAATAAATTTAAAAAAAAAAATTTAAATGGTGGGAACTGGTGAGAACCTAAAGGAAACTTGAAGACCAAGTCGACAAGATGCCCAAGAGGAAGAAAGGAGCCAAGGAACCCTCCAGGCTCTGACTCCATCTAAGAACAGRGCTGCCACTCAGAAAGATGGAAAGGGCTGGAGAAGCAGGTGTCCAAGAGACAGGCGAATGGATAAATTTGGAACCTGTGGCACAAATAGGTAGAGGATATAATTACAGCCCAAGTTTCCATCACAGAGAGCCTCCAGAGGGTCCCCAACCGTCCCACCTTGGTGTTATGTCTTCGGGAAGCCCTCTCCCATTGACAGTGGACTGAACTCGGACGCACTTCCAGGGAAGAGTGGGTGAGACTAATGGAGCGCCACTTCCAGGACCCGGTGGCAAGAGGCCTGAGGGTTCCACCTTGGTGCTTCTCTCCTGAATCGCTTACCCAGGGAGGCCGACCACTAGGTTGCGTGGGAGACCTGTGGAGGGGCCCGTGTGACCTGCAGCTGCAGCCTGTGACACCTGTGTGACTGAGCCTGGAAGCAGCCCCACCCCAGGCTGCAGGCTCACAGCTTACTACCATGTCACTTCAGGCCGGCTGAGGTGTGTGGCCGGCTCCCACTCTCAGAAGCTGAGGGAGAATAAATGTTTGCTGTTTTAAGCCRCTAAGTTCTGGAGTAACTTGTTACATATCAGTAGATAACTAGTAGGGCTGCGAGGGGAAGGCCACTCTAGGGCAGCATTTGTGGTTGGAGAACTGAGTCACMAGCAAGTTAAACCACCTGCCCAGCACCACACACTTGCAGGGAGGTGGGGACCAGACTGAGCCACCCAACTCCAGAGCCTTGGCTCTTCGTCACCAGGGACCAATACTCCCCTGGGGAATGTCCCTCCACCTAGGATGTGTACACCAGAGCCTGTCTCTCCCCTGCAGACAGCTGACATCACAGTTCACCTTGCAGTGGACCATCTGCTCCTTCATATCAATAGTTCACATATCAACACAGCTCTTSTACCTCGGACATCCAAACCCACCGTCATTCAGACTTAATTGCCAAAGGAGACAGAAAGGCAGCCTCTTGCTTTACTTAGGGTAACCTTACTCAGTCTGTTTAATCGGGTTGATTTAACTATTAGAAAATGTCCAACACAGTCRGAACATGCTCTACAGATTAAATGTCCTTCTTTGCATGCAAAAGTTCTTCCTTAAACCACAGTATTATAGCCAGACATGGAGGTGCACACCTATCATCCCAGTGACTCCAGAGGCTGAGGCAGGGGGATTGCACATTTGAGGCCAGTCTCAGCAACTTAGCAAGCCACTGTATAAGCAACAACAACAACAACAACAAC